TTCCATCTAAATCCAAGTAGCGCAGTGGAATGGTGTGGGACACCTCTGTCTGGCCACGAGGTGAAATGATATTGATAAACCTCACGTGTCTTTTTGCCCTAATTTCGATGAAAATTAAGACTAATAACTTTAATTTACTTTTACTTTTAAGGCTTAAAGGACGAATCACGATTAAAATGTCAGTACAAAATGGACTGACAATGGATTAAATTCGTTGAGGTGGTGATCAATTTTCACTGAAAGTAATATCCTTTCGAGTATCATCAAACCTCAGTTATTCAGAGTGCAGAACCGTTATCACCTCACAATCTCGCCTAGCCGAAATGTCTAATCGCTGAATCCTTCTTCTAGTAGCCATGCAGTTCTCTGTGAATTAGCTAAGAGAATCTAAAGTTATATCACGACAAAACTCTGCAGTTTAGGAGGCAGTCTATTTTCATAAGCGGAGAGAAGAGGAGAAGAAGAAGTCTCATGTCAATAACTTCGATATCATCGAGTAAATTGCCTTTTTCTGGAGGTAAGATTAACTGTCATTGTAAGTTGATCTTTGGACCAAATTATAATTCATTCCCTACGTGAAAACAGACTTTGAAAAAAAATATGAAAAAAATCTGAAGTGCCCTACCAACAAATACGATGACGCTTGTAAGTGTCACGCTGGTTAACCTGACTCTTAAATCGTGCGATAAACGACTCAGCGTTTATTTATCCATAAAAGAATTGTGAAAAACAACATTTTCTGTAAAAAAAAATTTAGGCTTAGCTCCATTTTCAGAGTTATTTGTTCTTTTTTAGTTTCTTACCGTCATTAATTTTAAGGTTCGGATGCAGTAGTCAGCGAAGTTTTGTGTCTTAATTAATGTTACTCTGATAGATCCAAACATAGTAGTACTGTCTGGCCAATACTGATCACACTTGTTCTAAAAAGTGAAAAAATTGCAAACGTATCAGTCGTCTTTTAAAACATAAATATGTATATGTGAACGATCCTTCGCAGTAAAGCACTATTTGAGCAATAGTGAAAATCAGACCTGACATCGTTTTCCTTACATCGTTTTCCAGGTCTAGTATTCTGTTTTATACACCTGGCACAATAAAGTTTACCAACATGGATGTAAAGAACACATAGATAATTATAAACGGAAATGTACTCTTTACACCAGAAAGGCTGACAGTAAGAATACCTTTCCTTGCTCGACTAAGTCGGTTAACATGACGATAACAAAACAGTTTTCCTGCCAGATCATCCGCCAGAAATCGCTGATTGTTGTAGAGGTTGGACCTGACATAGTAAAAATTTTCAACAAAGTAAAGAGAGACTTAATAGAGACAAACCATTCGGACCTAGCTAAACGCAGACTTACAACAGCAATATAAACGCTACATTTTTTTTAACAGTTCTCCAAGCTAAGCAACAAAATATACAACCGACCGTGAGTTGGAAGTGTGATTAACGTCTTGGCTTTCTTTAAGAAATTTGTTGTAATTACCTTGTGTTGCAATGTAGTTCACTGATTCTGCATCAAATGTCTAAGAATGAAAAAGAAGGAACGATTAAATCATGACTGATTATTCGATTCAGAGACATAGGTGATTCTTTCGCTCTCTCTATTTCCAGCACCTTTTGCATATTAACACGTCTATGATTTAAAATGAGGAGATAAAACTTAATCTTCGTTAAAATTCTCACTTTCTAAGTTCTTCGTTTGTAATGTGTTTTTAACTTCTCCATCCGTAACAATCTTTTGAAGTATACTTAACGCTTTAGTGTTTGGCGACCCCGGTCCATTTCAATAACAGCGCATTTCCTTCGATAGTTGAGGCCAATACCAAAGAAATCACACAGCCAAGCAGAATATGGGTTGATATCTCAATGAGCCAAAGAGAACTGTATTCAAACTGCCTAAAGCGTGTGAAACGCTTCAGTTTTTTATCTAATTGATTAAAAAAGTGACACGAGTTTACGGGAACAATTTACAGAGGGAGGTAAAATAAAACACTGCAATCCCGGGTTACCCCCTATCTTGGGTTAAAATTGCTTTATAACAAATTATCTTTAACAACCCAATGGAGAATTCAAAATATCTTGTACATATATTGTTGTACTTACCGGAATATAGCTAGCGTTGATGTAGTCAGACTTTGGATCACCCTCTATTTTCTCCAAAACAACACGAGAATGATCATCTGTCACGAGAAAGAGCCAGTCTTACATATTTTGTAACGTTTGTTATTTTCACAAGAGTATTTATATTAGGTTGCATAAATTTAATACTGCTGAATTATTTTAAGCGTGCTTGTAAGGTGTCTCAAGGGGCTAGTACACTATTTAAGGTTCGTTAAGTTATGCAAGAGCCATTCGAGGCATCTCTTTCAACCCTAGTTTTTTTATCTTATTTACTGTTGTAATTTTCTCTGAGTTTGTAAAACTGTAATGCTGTTTTTGTAACGCTTTACGCTCGCTGCATCAATAAACGAGATGCCCGCTCCTATTCTGTGTTTTGTGATTATTTAGATTAGTTACAAAATATTTTATAATCGTTTCAGTGTGATTAGAATATAAAAGTATTTACAGAGGTGAATCTCTCAAAGAGGAATCTCTACCCTCTATAACTCACTCGCGCTCAAACTTATTCTCACGCGGTGACCACTAGTAAGTTGCTGGGCGTGGAAATCCTGGTTCGCCTACTTCGTCCTTTGATCAAGCGATCACAGAGGATTCCACTTAATTAAAGTGTCCCAAAAGTGATTTTTTTTTACTGCAAATTTAAAATTGAGATGTAAACTCTGCGTTCCACCGAACGAGTACTTTAAATCCCTTTTTGCATAAGATACAACTGAGTGGAGCAGAATGAATAAAATGCACTTACAGGTCGTAATATTTCCATAACGGTTTTTCACTTTGTTGTCTTTACCAGCGTCCCAAGAGAATGGTAAAATGCTGGGTACTTTCTGTTAAAGATACAATAATTAAAAAATTCGATTAGCTACGTCCACAAACAAGCTAAGAATACAAGTCGCTCTACTCACTGAACATTTGAAGGGGCGGGTTGATGATCTAGCAAACAATAACTCCAAACACACTAAATTACTTCAAAACAGCAACAACAACGTCAATCACACTGCATTTAAAGTCTTACGAAAGGAAAATTCCTTCGCTATAGAAAACTTATGGAAAAGTATTTTCCGTTATTCATATTACATGACGGCAAGCTGCGCACAAATGACCAAAGGTACTAGTGACGACCAAAGCTTAATGTTATCTAAAAAAAAACCTTTGTCTCGCAAAAAGCTAGCTAACCACAAATGAGTTTAATACATAAAAGAACCATTCTGGAATAGAATTGTCATTCAGTCCCCAAAAAGTGACCATGTCATCTCATATAAATTTTCGAATTTGGTTCCTCACACCTTTTTCCCTGACAGGTCTCTATGTTCAAAACTTGGCAGGTGTTTTTGTAAGGAAACCTCGTCGACGAGAATACTGCAATCACGGTATTTGCTAATGGAAATCCCCTTAAAAAGCTATCATTAGCAAATGCCTTGCCTTGAATTCCTCTTCCAGCACGATGGCTCCATTAGCTGATTTGTCCTTGAAATATTTTGCAAACTCCGACACAGGAATTGGTTTTGGCTTACCATCATCAGCCTCACTGTACACCGCTTCTTTTTCCTCGAGGAGAGATGCTTTCCCATCAACTGTGTTAGAAGTATCACAGGAGTTTGGTTTTATAATGAAAATGAATCCCTTAAGCCGGGTGTGACAAATACTTAATTTCTATTGTATCGCACAACCCAGCCCAAAATTTACCTTATTTCTTATTTTATTTCCACAATGACAGAACGCTTTCAGACTGCTAATCCTCGTGATAAACCAAATTAAGCCTTGCTCGCAAAAGAGGTATTTGGAGCTGATTTGGTAGGGTGTCTGGCCGAAAATTCGAAAGGTATGACGCTCCCACTTGAACGGACAACTCGAAATGTTTCTTTTGTCCTGCGCTCGAGACAGTTGCAACAATTGCACGGTTTCAGAACCGAACCCAGACGTCTCTTTTAACATTTCTGTGTTGTTTTTCTGACAGTTTATCGCCAATTATATTTAAAATTCATATGGTGATCAGTAATTATTTTCACTTCGTAAATTATCCTTGCAGTGAGGAATCTAGTGAAGAAGTCGTTTGCTTAAACCACTGAAAAAATCATTGATTTATACAAATAACTCTTTTGCAATATCTTACCATTTTCATGAGAAGGAATGTTCGACACATTTTGAGAAATTATGCCGGCTGTACTTCCACTGGACTCAACGGACTCCATTCTGAATTCCACAAGTGGAACGTGTGCTTTGTTCCTGTTAACCTCTTGGCCTGACCTCTCACTCTGTCTCCTCCTGAAACGGCCAGGGGAATCACGCAGTTACATCAGGCACTCAAAATGGTTTTAGTTTTTCATGATATTGCATTTCATGTTATGGAACATAATCAAACAATTTGTGTCTACCCTTTTTGAACATCATTAAGAAAACTACTGCTGGAGGAGTAAATAGTGACTCCGTAAACTCATTCAAAGAGAAGTCCCTTTCACAGTCATTATGAAAATGTATTACTCGGTGAAGCATACCTCCGATATACCAGAATTGCCACAAGAAGCAATGGTACCAAGACTATTACCAGGACCACAGGAAAGACAATCCGCACAATACTAACAGATTTAGAGGCATCACTTTTCCTTACTCCTACCCCTACAGCATGTGTATCAAAAAGAGAAGAACACCCATTCAATGTTAGTTATATTTAATTTATGAATACAGAGTCATTATCAAGCTGAGTGTCTATGTTTTTAGAAATGTTGGGTTTACACTGAAACTATAAAATACTTTTACAAGTTCATCATTGCTATCTCGATTCAAAATCGTAATTAAGTATTCATCTTGCCTCCAGTGACAGAAATTTTTGCAACCTTGCTGACTGGTCCTTCTAAAATGACCTGTAAAAGTAAAATACAAAGAAAAAGTCTTAATATATTAATCAAAATTAACATTTTCAGTTTTTGTGGACGTTACAATAGCTGGCAAATGTAATCTGCTAGTTTAATGAAAGTCAAAGCTTTGGTCTTGGTGACAAATTTATAAAATATGCTAGTATGTCGTATTGTGTTTTATCACAGACCTTTCCTTTTCCCTTTATCGCGACGCTGATCGAGGACACTTTCAAAGTTGCTGATCCTAACAACATTTACGACGCTTGTCTTTTCGCAATGGTTTCGATAGAATTTGGTAGGAATGGGTAGCTAGGAATACTTGGCGGGTAGTTTTTGAAGTAGTATTTGAAGTTGTGGAGGGCCTCCCTCCTAGTGAGGCCAGGACTTACCCAGGAAACTTTGAAGGTTCAGAGCTGTTTTTTTTTTTCTGCCTTTTAGGTCTATTTCAATTCATGTTCCCATGCGGTTCCTAGAAGTCAACCTGTTGAAAAGTACCACAGGTGCGATAGGAGCACAATGCTTCTTGAGTAAAGGCTACGAACGGATAGATCTAGCACTGAGCAATCTGGCTTTCAGTCAGATTGCTCAGTGCTTGCTTTTTATCGAAGTTATTGCTCAGTCACTTGCTTTTTATCGAAGCTCCTACCTATCTCCATGTAAGTTCACTGGTAACTTTTCAGAAATTACTTACACCATTGTCATAAGTCATCGCTCTTTGGAACACAATGTAGTCCTCTCCGTTCTGGAGTTCTTTGTTTCTATACGCTCCATACGTTTTTCCATCGCCAACAGTGAATTCCCAAGACTTTTCATTCCTCGGAACATTTTCTATCTCAGCAGCAACATAAAAAGACAGGTTTCCTATCCCCGCTTTATTTGAATCCTTTAGTTTTGAAGCATAGTCAATCGGAAGATCTTCCACCCCATCAACAATATTTAGAACTATAACTTGATGGGAACTGAAAAGGAGGAGGTTGGAGTGTTTACAACGTCCATGGCACTGAATGCGAGTACACGAATCTTAAAAATAACATTTACGGATAAAACGTTGACTAAAAGAAAAACAGGTTAAGAAATTTGAGTCATAAATATTTCCTTTTTATCAAAATAAAACTTTGGAGTGGTAACTTTTTGGGGCAACAAAATACCAAATAATTGCAAGCAAAAATAAAGAACACGAAAGGGAAGATCAACACGGATGGGGACTATAAAACTCAAAAATCCAGGCGTTCCTTTAATGGTGGCGACGAGCATAAAGCTAAATGAGTACTATTTCAGTCAAGATCAAGGTTTGTTAGTCCCCCCCAAAAATGAGTAACTCACCTTATTGGGCCATTTCTTTGTTCTGCCTGCCATAGGTGAATCACAACAGTTGTAGTCGAAATACGTTTATTCGCCAGCAACAGTACAGCTGGAGAGATCGGGGCTAAAATGAAAAAAAAAAATTGTTGTAACAGGGTTGAAAGGGAATTTTCTCCTCAAAAATGTTTGTGTGCTGTTTATGATAACGTGCTCAAAATTGGAGCACAAAAAAAAAAGTCAAATAACCGATTCAAAATTAGCCTTGGTAAACTTACCAGACAATTAACTATGACAAAAATTGGACCAGTATTATATTTATCGTTTGTAAGAATTATAGGAATAACATGTAGGCTTACAAATAATTTTTTAAAAAAGCGTTAATATTCCTTATTCGTATATTTTTGGATACGCAGGATTGTTTGATGAGTTAATCAGTTTCAATGATCTATCAGTCTAAAATTCTGTCTTAACATTGATAAACAACTGCTCTTGTAAATCAAATTTTACCTCTCGTCTTTGTTTTGACGCTATCAGGAAATCCTTTGGGTTCTCCGAGTCCACATACAGAGCTTACCATAACCTGAAACTCGTAGATAGAACCTGGAACTAAACCTTTCATAGTGTAGGAAGTGGAATTGTCTACATCTTGGAGACCTTCCTCTCTAAAGCTTCCATTGTAAGGCTTTGTTCCGAGATACTTCACCTTATGAAACAAAGATATTTTCATTTAAAACTTCACATAGCTTTTAAACAGTCTATCTTGTTCAAAAAGAGAAAGTTGTCTCTAGTTTTGCATTCGGGAAATACGCCATGAAAAGACAAAGACAATCATCGACAGGAAAAAAAACGCGAAATGTAGAAGCGAAAATGTCACTCAAAAAAGAAGAGCTATCTGTTCCGTCTGTCTGGCCTGCTTATCCTTGAAAATTATCCAGCATAAACTACAAAAAAGGCTCAACCCATGATATCTGGCATTAAAAGTTAAGAAAGTGGAGTTACAGTTGTAAGTTGAAGGTTTGCGTTGTGCTCCTAAGACCAGAAAAGAATGCAAGTTCGCTAAAAGTAAATTTCCAACATAAAAATATTATTTCCCCTACCCGCCCTAAAACATCGTTTTATAGTTTTCGTTCGACTCACTCTATAGCTGAGGCCTTCTTTTGTCATGAGCTCTGGTTCTTTCCATTCCAGCGTCACTTGGGTTGCTCCAACATTTGTTGCATTTAACCCCCAAGGTGTTCCTGGGACTATCAGGAAAGTGAGAATAGTAATAATACTTACGGTGAACATAAATTTCCCTAAGGAAGTTGAAAATTGCGTACAGGTGTCGCATAATTTAGTTCCATGCATGCCAAAACAGAGACCATGAAAGCATTGATTATTATTCAAGATTATTATGAATGAAAACGACCCCGCCAATCTACGCCTGTACGAAGCATTTTTCATTGGAAAGTACAAACCGACACTCAATTCCCGGGAAGAATGTAGTGAATTTGCAGACCTCCTATTTTAGCATCTCGTTTTAATGCTCTTTTACACCCTTTGTTTATACGCTCCATCATTAGAGCCTTTATTATGTTTCATTCACAGTTTATTCCCACAGCCTTCACACATAGTCACGTCTTTCACACAGTTCACCCCACACTCTTTTTAATATATATATATATATATATATGTAGCGCTGCCGGAATATTTTCTTATCCCTGATGATGCCGTTGATCAGCGAAAGCTCGGATTTATCAAACAATTTACTTTTTACAGCAGTGTAACGCTTCATTCGATTAATTTGTATATATTTCGAAAATGCTGCTGAAGGACAACATGAACAGATCTATGCGCGGTGTTTGAAAATGTCCCCAAACATGCGAGCTAAAAAAATTTAAATTCAAGTGTTTTCTTTCTAGCGTTCCAACGGTTTGCAAGGGAGCCAGTTTGAAATTGAAAGTCAAAAATGGACTCTTAACGTTTCCTTTTCAATTTTTTCGGTCGTAGTTGTTTTATTTCAAGACCACACTTGCACACATCTGTTGATCAGTTGATTCTAAAAGGTGGGTTCATTAACGAATAAAAAATACAAAAAGAGTAAGTCCAAGATGGCGGATGCCTGAAAAAATGTCAGCTGTTTTATGACAATCTCTTTATTTATGATGTAAGTGTTCTGATTTCCTTTTTGAGATATCCCTTTGTTTTGATGGGCCAATGTGATTACTGGCTTTGGTTTGACTAAATTCAATCGAAATATAATCCAACTGCTGTATATCGCACTACACACCTGATGTTCTTGGTAGTTTTACAGGTGGACCATATGGACCGGGTCCTACTTTGGTATAAGCTCGAACAGACACTTGGTATCGCAAACAAAGCAACAATCCACTCCATAAAATGAATGTGTTTGTTGTATTAACTGTATTGCTACTTAAAGACGATCTTTCCTGTTTTGTTCCCCGAGACAGCAATTCTTGTTTGACGCTATACAGAATAATGTCGCCATTGCTCTGTTCTCTTGATAATGGTTCCCATGAAATGTTTAAGGAGGTCTTGTTGACATGAGCAGGTATTATACTAGCTGGACCACTACTAGGTTCTAGAAGAAAAAAGATTGAGTCAAAGTTAAAAGTCATGCCCTAACAAGACGTTTTTAGCAAGGGTCTAAGCAAGTCATTTCGAGCCACTTGTCAATTTTTCTTCATAGATAATCACCTTCGTTCCTCTTATTTTAACTCCAATAACTTTTTTAATCAAACCAAACTTTTGTTTTGTGGTTGAATTAAAATTGAAATTAATTATTTCACTTCACATAAACCGACTGAAATAAGCGTACCGGCAACGTACATCTTGCTTCTCATTATCATCGCATCTTATCTATGCAGAAGATAAGATACGGGATACAGAATATTGCACTTACTATATTCCGGGACATAAATATTTAGAGAGGCATTTTTTCCAGGTTGTAATGTCTCAGCTCTGACGTTAAACCAATAAGAGACTCCACTAAACACATTAACTGTGTAGTTAAAGACATCTGGTCCAAAGGTCTCGCTGTGAATATCATATGCATCTTCACTGTGGTTGTAAAACACGGTGTAGTTCCTGATAACTCCATTTGGTTCTGAAGGTGCTTTCCAGGATAAAATCATCATTGGTCCCTGTAACGCAGTCGGTGTTTTAAGGTTATGACTGAGGGAGGAAGGAGGACTTGGTACTAAGGAAAAAGCTATAAGGAGAATTCAGAATTAACATTTAGTGCTTTAGGAATTACACTTAATTTGGATTGTAGTGTAAAACAATGATCACTTTAAACGTACAGAAATTCTCATAGAATACTGATTACCATGATGTTTTTATCATCTAGAAATGTTCTTACGACTTTCAAGGAACTCCTTGGTCCATCGCCAAGAGATGTGAAGGCTAACACTTAAAATTCATGATCTGTATCAGCTTGACTGAATGCTGCATCGTCGATGCGTATTTCGACTGTTGAGCACGTATCACCCAACAACAGTAGACAAGTTAGGGTTAATGTTAGGTTAGGGGAGGGGTGGGTGCGCAGTTGTTCAGATACTGACATTGATCCAAATTAATATACAGCAGTCAACTGATACCAAGTTACAATTTTCTTGACTAAGTTATAACGAATTTTAATGATCAGATCCAAGGGAATAATCAGGATTTCTACGTATAATATACAAAGTCAATATTATATTACTGCACCTGAACATTCCAACCCAACTTTACAATGATAGGCTCTTAAAAACCTACCAACAGTGGAAGTGAAACTGCCACAAACAATCAAGTTTCTCACCATCTTTCATTGTTCTCTCCACCACAACAGAACTTTTTGGTCCATCACCATGAGACGTAAAAGCCAACACTTGAAATTCATATTCCGTGTACTTATCCAGACCAGTAATAACTCCTGAAAAAGTTGTTCCATCATTGATAGTTACAACAGACATTGACCCCATAAACCCTTTCTTTTTGTAGAACAATTTGTATCCTACAATGATTCCATGTCTGGAATACACGGGAGGTAACTGCCAGGATGCTCTAATACTTGTAGAGGAGCTTGCAGATAAAGTCAAGTTACTGGGTGCTTGTGAGGGAACTGAAATAAAGACAGAATGATAATTGAATAATAGAAATAATAACGTTGATAATAATAATAATAATAATAATAATAATAATAATAATAATAATAATAATAACAACAAAGAAAAGTACTGTTAATGCTGTCGCATTAGATTTGTACAACGGCATTTACTTTGAATTTTGTTACCAGTCTTAGCTCGGACAAGTGACACATATTTTCACTGTTCGAGACAAGGTTGTACCTCGGCCAACCTAAACGAATTTCAGGGCGTTAAATTTGCTTTAAGGATCTTATTGACAACGGTTTTACTCGTCCTATATAAACAGAAAGACCAAACGGAAACGGAGGGCGATGTAACAAGGAACCTAAGGAGTGATTAAAGGTACAAACAATTC